AATAAGTGGAATGATGACAGAGAACGAGTGAGTTATTCACAGAGCTTTGTCAGAATAGCTGAGGTAATAATGCAATAAGTGGAATGATGATAGAGAAAGAGTGAGGCAGTTGGTACCTTTCTCAGAATGTGTGAAATAAATATAGAATAAATATAGTGACAAAATAATAAGTGAGTTAGTCACAGGCCTTTCACGGGTAGAAATTAGTTTGAAAATTTACAGGCCAGCCGGGCCTGTAGATAAGGGATTTTACAGGCCCGCCAGGCAAATTTTACAGGCCGGGGACGGTTTTGCATGCTGGGGGTGGATTTTCTACAGGCCTGTCGGGCTTGCTAGTATTAGAAATGTCAGACCCGAGCCTTAAAATACGGGCATCGGGCCCGATTTCGACCCATGCCTTTGTTAGAATAGATATAGAAAATATTAAGAAAAATGTAAAAAAAGTAAAGTTGTAATCGACTTGTTAGACTAGATTAAAAAATATACAAAATATATAGTGAAAAATGATAGTGATTTAGTTATGGATCTTTGGTACAGAGTTCTGATATATGCATGACTGCTCTTGTGTTGTGACAGTGCCGACAGGAACGGTTACGTACAGGCGGCAGCACCTGTCTAACCTACCTGACTGGGAGGGTAGCACCCACCAGTTACCCAGGCTACATCTGTCAGCTACAGGCAAGATAGAAGATGAGGGACAGGGAATGCTACAGGTGTGTGAATCATCACAACAATATGTTTTTTACCACACAAGTGTGTGCGTGCGTGTCTGTAAGTTGTGTGTGCGGACATGCATTCGCGCAAGGGAGTGTGTGTGCGTGTGTGTGTGTGTGTGCGTGCGTGCGTGCGTGCGTGCGTGCGTGCGTGCGTGCGTGTGTGTATGTGTGTGTCTGTAAGTTGTGTGTAATCGCGTACATGGGCACGAATGCAGTGTGCGAACATGCATGCGTGCAAGGGTGTGCATGCTATTGTGCGCGTGTGTGTATGGACGTGCGTGCGCGCGCGCATGTGTGTACGGACGTGCGTGAGTGCGTGCATGCGTGTGAATTTACATACAGTGAGAGACTAAACGTTATTCTACCGAAACCTAATTAGTGTTTAAATGTCGCGCTGCTTCATATAATCTCGAATGTTTTATGAACTCCCCCACCCCAAAAAAACTTCTAAGAGAGAATTAGTGGGGATGTGACATCGGCGTTGATCGCGTACCTGTAACGAGCTCCGCCCGCCACGCAGGTGATCGCGTACCTGTAACGAGCTCTGCCTGCCGCGCAGGTGATCGCGTACCTGTAACGAGCTCCACCCGCCACGCAGGTGATCGCGTACCTGTAACGAGCTACGTCTGCCACGCAGGTGATCGCGTACCTGTAATGAGCTCCGCCCGCCACGCAGGTGATCGCGTACCTGTAACGAGCTCCGCCCGCCACGCAGGTGATCGCGTACCTGTAACGAGCTCCGCCCGCCACGCAGGTGATCGCGTACCTGCTGTAAGCGAGCTCGGCTGCAGCGCAGGTGATCGCGTACCTGTAACGAGCTCCGGCCTGGCCACGCAGTGATCGCGTACCATGTAACGAGCTCGGCCCGCCACGCAGGTGATCGGCGTATCTGTAACCGAGCTTCCGCCCACCACGCAGGGATCGGCGTACTCTGTAACGAGCTCCGCCGCGCCATGGCAGTGATCGCGTACCTGTGACACGAGTGCGGCCTGCACGCAGGTGATCGGGCGTAACGTAAACCGAGCTCCGCCCGCGCACGGCAGGGGATCGCGTACCTGTAACGAGCTCCGCCCCACCACGCAGGTGATCGCGTACCTGTAATGAGGCTCCGCCCGCCACGCAGGTGATCAACGTACCTGTAACGAGCTCGCCCACCACGCAAAGGTGATCGCCTACCCGGCTGTAACTGAAGCTCGGCCCGCCGCGCCAGCGTGATCGCGTACCTGTAAACGAGCTCCCGACCGCCACGTCAGGTGATCCGGTACCTGTAAGCGAGCTCCACCCGCCAACGCAGCGTGATCGCGTACCTGTAACGAGCTCTGGCCACCACGCCAGGTGATCGCGTAACCTGTAACGAGCTCCGCCGGCACCGAAACGCAGGTGATTCGTACCTGTACGAGCTCCGCCCACCACGCAGTTGATCGGCGTACCTGTAACGAGGCTCCGCCGCGCACGCCAGGTGGATCGGTACTCTGTAACGAGCTCCACCCCGCACGCAGGTGATCGGGTACCTGCACGAGCTCCGCCCTCCGCTGCAGGTGATCGCGTACTCTGTAACGAGCTGCGCCGCCAGCGCAGGTGATCGGCGTACCTGTAACGAGCTCCGCCCGCCACGCAGGTGGACTTTGCTAACAGGTGGGTAGCGGTGGCGCCCTCGCGCGGACTCGTTCAGGAGGAGATTCGCTTCATGATTTGTCCGGAGATGATCATCGCACGGCTGTTCACCGAGGTGCTGCAACCCGACGAATGCCTCGTCATGACCGGTGAGACGCCCCCTGGCGGGTCGCGACTCACGCGACGACCGCGAGACGCGTCCCTGAGCGTTGTCAAAAAAATTTGTTGTGATTTTTTAGCACGGTGCGATGTGCGATTCCTTGCAAGTGGTTGACTAGAATGTGAGCACTCCCGATTCTCTTCCATGAATGTCACCCTTGCCTCAATTTTTGTGCGTATTTTTTTTAGCAATGTGATTTTCGGCTTACTTATAGCAATTGTTGTACGAATTTTAGTGAGAAATGGAAATGTTTACTGATAACGTAACTAAAAACGTCTAATAACGTGTATAACCCTTTCATCGCTGTCACTTATAACCTTTCATCGCTGTCAACTATAACCTTCTGGGCTGTCACTCATAACCTGTTCTCATGCTGTACACTATAGAGCGTGTGTAGGCGCTGTCACCTAACTAACCTTGTCAATTGCTGTCAACTATAACCCCTTTCATTGCTGTCAACTATAACCTTTTTCATCGCTGTCAATAATAACCTCTTCATCGGCTGGTCAACTGAAACCTTGTCATCCGCTGTCAACTATATACCTTTCATCGCTGTCAAACTATAACCGTTTCACGCTGTTCAACTGAGGAGTGTGGTGCGAGTGCGTGGTCAACCTATAACCCTCTCATCGCGTGTCAACTTATAACCCTGGCATCGGCTGTCACTTATAACCTTTCATCGCTGTCAACTATAACCTTTCATTGCTGTCACTATAACCTTTCATCGCTGTTCAATACTATAACCTTTCATCGCAGGGGGGGGGGGGGGGGGGGGGGGGGGGGGGGTCACTATAACTCATCGCTGTCAACTATAACCTTTCACTGGCGTCAACTATAAGATTTACTGGCGTCATGTGTGTGGTTTCACTGCTCAGGGTGTGAGCGATTCAGTAGCTACTCGGATAATGGAGGATGACTACAATTGGACAGGGGACTACGTCGATACCTCCCCTAGGTATGTACTAGCATTTACACTAATATCTGTCATGCTGCCTGTATGTGCGTGCGCGTGTGTGCGTTCGAGCGTGCATTCGTGCGTGCGTGCGTGCGTGCGTGTGCATATGTGCATGCATACTCTGTGTTGTGTTGTATGTAGGTCTATACATGTACGCTTGTGTGTGGGCTTGCATAAGTATCGAGGGAAGTTACCTCTTCCTAACCAAACAGAGTAAAATTCGCATTCGATTTTAAAGTTAAATCATGCATAATGGGGTTAGCCGCTAGAAACAGTTGCCGCTGGAGGGCAGCACATCTTGCAGAGGTGAAGATTATCCGCGTCCCATGTCACACGCCGGTGTAGGCGCAACCATCTTCATGACTTGGCGATAATATCTGAAGATAGCCCGCCCCCCCGCGCACTATCGGCACAGCGCACTTTTCGCGTGCGTCGCGACCCGACTAATCACAGCTCGTTCTTCTGCTGTCGAAATTTCGGTGGACCATGCGAAAATATATTGATCATACTATGGATTATAGGCCGACCTGCGAAATATTATGATTAGGATGCGTATGCGCATGCGCACTTCGCGATATATGCTCAAACCCGGCGCAATATGGTGATTTCCACTTCAGCTATAGACACCAGCTGGTGAGAAGGAGGCAGGGGGAGAAGCTGGTGGACGAAGGAGGAAAGAGGAGAAGGAGGAGGGGAGAAGCTGGCTGTGGAGAAAAGGAAGGGAGAAGGCGAGAAGCTGTGGAGAATGAGAGAGGGGGAGAAGCTGATGGACGAAGCGAGGAGGGGGTGCCAGGAGAAGCTGGTGAGAGAAGGAGGAGGGGGAGAAGGCTGGTGGAAAAGAGGAGGGAGAGAAAGGGAAGCGGTGGTTGAACGAGGAGGAGAGAAGCTGGGGAAAAGGAGGAGGGGAGAAGGAGAGCTGGTGAGAGGAGAGGAGGGGGAGAACAGGGAGAATCTGGTGGAGAAAGGAGGAGGGGGAGAAGCCTGGTGGAGGAATGACGGAAGGGGAGAAGGGAGAAGCCTGGTGGCGAAGGCGGAGGGAGGAGAAGCTGTGGAGAAGGAGGGGGAGAAGGGCAGAACTGTGGAGCGAGGAAGAGGGGGAGAAGCTGGTGAGAAGGAGGGAATGAGAGAAGCTGGCTGAGAAGGAGGAGGGGAGAGGGAGAAGCTTGATGGAGGAGGAGGAGGGGGGAGAAGGGGAGAAGCTGTGGAGGAGGAGGAGGGGGGAAGCTGGTGGAGAAGGAGGAGGGGGAGAAGGAGAAACTGTTGGGGAGAGGAGGGGAGCCAGGGAGAAGCTGTGGAGGAGGAGGAAGGGAGAAGCTGGTGGAGATGGAGGAGGGGGAGAAGTCTGGTGGAGAAGGAGGAGGGGGAGAAGCTGGTGGAGAGGAGGAGGGGGAGAAGCTGGTGGAGAATGGAGGAGGGAGAGAGCTGGTAGGAAGGAGGAGGGGGAGAAGGCGGTGGAGAAGGAGGATGGGGAGAAGGGAGAAGCTGGTGGAAACGGAGAGGGAGAAGCTTGGTGGAGAAGGAGAGGGGGTAGAAGGGAGAAGCTGGGGTGAGAAGACGGAGGGAGAAGCTGGTGGAGAGGAGAAGGGGGAGAAAAAGCTGATGGAGGAGGAAGGAGGGAAAAGGAGAAGGCTGGTAGAGAAGGAGGAGGGGAGAAGCTGTGAGGACGGAGGAGGGAGAGCTGTGGAGAAGGAGGAGGCTGCGAGAGAAGCTGGTAGAGAACGGAGAGGGGGAGAAGCTTGTGGAGAGGAGGATGGGGAGAAGGGAGAAGCTGTCGGGAGAAGGAGGAGGGAGAAGCTGGTGGACGAAGGAGGAGGGGGAGAAGGGAGAAGTGGTGGAAGAAGGAGAGGGGAGAAGCTGGTGGAGAAGGAGGAGGGGGAAAGGGCTGATGAGAAGGAGGAGGGGACAGGGAGAGCTGTGAGAAGGAAGGCGGGAGAAGCTGGTGAAGAGGAGAAGGAAGAGAAGAGAGAAGCTGGTGGAGAAGAGGAGGAGAGAAGCTGGGTGGAAAAGGAGGAGGGAGAAGCTGGTGGAGAAGAAGGAGGGGAGAAGCTGCATGGACGAACGGAAGAGGGGAACAAGGGCAGAAGCTGGTAGAGAGGAGGGAGGGAGAAGCTGGTGAGAAGGAGGATGAGAGAAGAGAGAAGCTGTGAGAAGGCGAGGAGAGAAGCTGGATGGAAAGGAGAGGGGGAGAAGGGAGAAGCTGGGTGAGGAGGGAGGAAGGGAGAAAGGCTAGTGGAGAATGGAGGAGGGGAGAACTGTGGAGAAGGAGGAGGGGAAACAGCTGGTGGAGAGGAGGAGGGGGCAGACTGGTGGAAAGGAGGAGGGGGAGAAAGCTGTGGAGGAAGGAGAGGGGGAGAAGCTGGTGGAGAAAGAGAGGGGGAAAGGGAGAAGCTGTGGAAGAAGGAGGAGGGGAGAAGCTGGTGGAGAAGGAGAAGGAGAAGCGGTGGAGATGGAGGAGGGGAGGGCTGGTGAGAGGAGGAGGGGAGAAGCTTGTGGAGAAGGAGAGGGGAGAAGTGTGGAGAAGGAGGAGGGAGAGAAGCTGGTGAGAAGGAGGAGAGGGGAGAAGCTTGGTGAGAAGGAGGGGAGCAAGGGCAGAAGCTGGTTAGAGGAGGAGAGGAGAAGCTGGTGGAGAAGGAGGAGGGAGAGAAGCTGATGGAGAAGGAGGAGGGGGAAAAGGAGAAGCTGGTAGAGGAAGGAGGAGGGGAGAAGCTGGTGGGAAGGAGGAGGGGGAGAGGAAGTAGAAGCTGATATGGCAAGGAGGAGGGGAGTAAAGCTGGTGGAGAAGGAGGATGCGAAGAAGCTGGTGGAGAGGAAGAGGGGAGAAAGCTGGTGAAGAGGGAGGAGGGAGAGAAGGCGAGAAAGCTGGTGGAGAAGGAGGAGGGAGAAGCTGGTGGAGAAGGAGGAGGGGAGAAGCTGTGGAGGAAGGAAGAGGGGAGAAGCTGGTGAGGAGGGGGAAACCACCTTCTCTCCTCGCTCCTTCTTCACCAGCTTTCTCCTTCTCCTCTCCTCCTCTCCACCAGCTTCCTCCTTCTCCCCTCCTGCCTCCATCACCAGC